TTGCTGGGTTGCTGGGTTGCTGGGTTGCTGGGTTGCTGGGTTGCTGGATTGCTGGCTAGAGATATTCTAAGGATGGATGTCAGACTTGCCCCATGGAACCCAATGCCCCTAATCAACAGGAAGTAGAGGTCTACACCTGTGACAGTGTTTGGTCTGCTGCTGTGTATTCAAATGTCAAATGCTGGACCTCAAGGTTTGGTTGTAGTCTAGACAAGCACATTATCACATCCACCAAATGATGTGTATAAACTTTGCTCACCAATCTTCTTTGACTGGTTGAATAAAAGTGGCTGACAGCCAATTACTGGGGAGAATAGGTAGGCAGGGCTTCAGTGACTGGGCTTAGGGTTGCAGGTAGGGAAGACTAGGCCTAGAGGAGGAGCAGGAAGAGGATGGAGAGCAGAGGGATCCCGTAAATGGGATGGATCGTGAACAGGCAGCTGAAGGAAGTGCACCCTGAAGACAGCCTTACCAATCTGGTTCTTTTCTTGTGTGTGAGTACCACTTTCTGGTTGTTTCTTGTTTCTTCCTGATAGAAAAGTTTGGACTTGTGTTTTGGGTGTTATAGACAGGTCTTTTTTTATGAGTGCCACTTTCTGGTTGTTTCTTGTTTTTGTTTTGTTCTTCTCATTTGTTGCATTTCTGTGTGGTGTGTTTGTGATTCTCATTACAATATGATTTTGAAGAAGTGATTTGGACTTTGACGGATGTATTAACATGAGACAAGTTGGACTTTGACAGATGTATTAACATGAGACAGGCTACATCTACTACATTCTACAGGTTCCCTTCACCACACTAGAGTCCAGAAAGCTGGTTTCTGGCCCCATAGGGGAGCCCACCAGTAACCAAGCAGCTACTGATGCTTGCTTCTCCTTACGTCACCCCGACTGGGGTTTTAACACTGTTAAAGGGAAGTGGAGGCTATTGGCACCATCAGACTCTGCTGGTAGGTCTTCAGGTAACTGCAAGACCCCCACAAGTTTGGCCAGGGTGTATGACATTAGGCAGAGAGAAAATGAAAGCCCTGTAGCTTTTTTTAGAGAGGGTCATGGAGACATTTCAACAATACACCCCCATGGATCCTGCACCTGAAGCAAAGGCAGCAGTGGCTCTAGCTTTTTGCGTGTGTGTATTTGTTTTGGTTTTTGGTTTTTCAAGACAGGGTTTCTCTATATAGCCCTGGCTGTCCTGGAACTTACTCTGTAGACCAGGCTGGCCTCGAACTCAGAGATCTGCCTGCCTCTGCCTCCCAATTGCTGGGATTAAAGGTGTGTGCCACCATTGCCCACCCTAGCTTTTATTAACCAGGCAGCACCAGATATTAAGAAAAAGCTCCAGAGGGTTGAGAGGTTTGGAGAAAGAAGTCTAAGGGACTTAGTGATAGTGGCAGAGAAAGTATTTAATGGAAGAAAGAATGCAGAGGAGAAGCAGATGAGAGGACAGAAGCAACAGACTCAAGACCTGGCAAAGATCCTGTTGGCAGACATGGTCAAACCAGAAGACCATAGGAGATGACTAAAACAGCTTCAGAAGAAACAGGTAAGGGGGGGCCTGAAGATCAAACGTGCCCCCTCCCCAAGCCTGGGGTGACCCTAAAAGCAAAAGGAAAACCCACCCACTTTTTTGTTGATAATAAAGTTCAACATTCTGTCTGCTAAAACCTGAAGATAAATTCTCTTCATCAGTTTATAAATGACTTCCTGGTGACAACAGAAACAAAACAAAACTCCAGGACATCTTAGAGGCTCTGAAAAATTTGGACTATTGAGCCTCTGCTAAGGCCTTACTCTGCCAATTACAGGTGACCTCCCTAGACCTGGGGATGGCCACTCATACTCGGGGCCCTGACATCAGCCAATGTGTCCCCAATTGGCAGAAGCTGGCCCCCACCCTGTTTACACATCAGTGCAGCAATGACCTCCTGGTTAAAGATGATGCCAAAGTGACTCATTACCAACCTCTCTTCTTGAATGCCCCCAGGATAACTTCTCAGCTGCCCTGCTGCCTGACCCTGACCTCGGTCAATGGGCCTCTGCATGCTGCTCGGATGGATGCAGAGGTAATATGGTTCACCAGTGGCAACAACTGACAGCTCTGACCAAGGCGTTAGAGCTGAGAATGACAAGAGACACAGATGGCTGGTGTGCCTTTGCTACCGCTCATATCCATGGGGCTATTTATAGGGAGAGAGGCCTCCTGACAGAAGGCAGGACTAAACTCCAACCCAGAGGGACAATAAGACAGCCCAGTGGGTAGCCCTAGAAATTGGACCCCTCATGTCCTTGATTACCCTAGACCCAGTAGACCCCACACACTCTGATCAGACAGAAGACATGATCTGGGCCAAAAACCTGCTCATGTCTCAGTGTCATAAGAGATGACAGAGGACAGCTGACTACAAACTAATTGTACCAGAGAAAATGGGTATAAGCATACTGAAAAAGATCCATTGTTCTTCAACATGCGACCCTGGAGAATGCAGGACTTAGTCCACCAGTCTTACATCAGAATTAGAGATACCAGCTTGAAAATAGCTGAAATTGTTAAAAACTATAAGGTCTGTCAATTGACCAATGCCAATAAAAAGAACAACAGTACTCAATACCAGAGCACCAAGCCAGGAGTCTATCAGAAAATGGACTAATGGACTTCACAGAGGTAAAACCAAGAAAATTCAGATACAAATGTCTGCTAATATTTATAGATACCTTTTAAAGATGGACTGAGACTTTCCCAACTAAGCACAAGACTGTGCAGATGATAACAAAAAAACTACTAAAGGAATTTCTTACAAGATATGATTTTTCTAAGCTTATAGAGTCAGACAATGGACCTACATTTGTGTCCCATGTAAGTTAGAGATTAGCTAATATTCTGGTGTCGCGTCCACCCTCGACCAGCAAGGAAGATGCAACTCGTGAGCTCTTCTCCAAGCAGTTTATTCAGGACCCTTGAACAATCTTCTGACTGACGACCCCAGGGGAAGTGTCTCCCAGGCTTAAGTACTCTAGGACTAGCCAACCCCCGTCTGCCACGTGGCAACAGCAGGTAGGTACACACACACACACACACACACACACACACACACACACACACACACGGAGACAAGCCAGATCACCAGCCACAGCCAAATAAGGGGTTGTTTACTCCTAAGAGTCCTCGCCAGCAAGTGGCAGAAGGCGGAACCGGCGCCATCTTAAGGGCGCAGCACTATGTGGCTCTCCACATTCTGGGGATTGATTGGAAACTTTATTGTGCTTACAGACCCCAGAGTTTAGGACAGGTAGAGAATATAAATAAAATTCTAGAAGAGCCGGGCGGTGGTGGCGCACGACTTTAATCCCAACACTTGGGAGGCAAAGGCAGGCGGATTTCTGAATTTGAGAGTTCGAAGCTAGCCTGGTCTACAGAGTGAGTTCCAGGACAGCCAGGGCTACTCAGAGAAACCCTGTCTCGAAAAACCAAAAAAAAAAAAAAAAAAAAAAAAAAAAAAAAAAAAAAAAAAAAAAATTCTAGAAGAGACCTTAACTAACTTGACCTTAGAGGCTGACGACTGGATGACTCTTTACCCCTCATCCTTTATAGAGCATAGGACTCCCCATGCAAGATGGGTCACACCTCTTTTGAAGTTATGTTTGATTTAGCTACTGACAGAAGTTATTACACAATCTCGAGGGTGTCCAATGGGTACACAAATATATTTGGCTTAACTTCATGCTTTCCATAAAACAGGTCCACTTCCAGAGCTCCACCAACTTTATCCCAGAGATTGGGTCCTAGTCAAGAGATACTGCCAGGGGTCACTAGAGCTTCCTGTGCAGCATGGATCTACCACACATCCATTTGCAGTTGAAGACGACTCTGGCCAGCAGGGGGAAAATTCAGCCTCAAGACTCTCTTCTGTCTCCCACTGATGGGCCCCTACCCATGCCCCAGGGACAGCACAAAAACATAGCCCTGTTACTGTTCTCATGAAGCTTCAGGAAGTCCCATGATTGGGCCTTCTAGTCACAAAAGAATGGGGGAGGGGTGTGAGAGGCCAAATCTTTTAAGTTCAGATTCCATTTTAGAGATCTTGACTTAAGTCTGAACTCAGGTAAACTAACAGGCTGGTACCTAGCATTAGTTTCCAAGTTGCCCCCAACAAAACCCAAGCCTAGCTCCAATCTCCAAGCTAATCCCCAAAAAGACCAGGTTACACCATCAACAAGACCAGCAGCATCTCCAGGTTATTCCCCCAACAAATCTATACCCCCAGGTTACAAGCCAAGCCCCTGCCTATTGATTACCAGTGCAGAGGTGAAAAGACATTAAGTCTTGTATTTATGATCTGACTCCCAGTACCAGCCAATTATGTAAAAGGCCACAGTAGCTTTTCAATTAGATGTTTGCACACTTACCCCACTTGCTGCTTACTATAAAGCCTTGCCCTAATAGATATTTGGGGCTCCCCACCACCAAAACTGTCCTGCATGATGGCAGTGCTGTTGGGCATGGCCCAAACTAGCTGGAATAGAATAAAGGCCCTGCTGTGAGTTGCATCAGATCATCTCCTGTCTGGTTTGAGAACCACTAACATTTCCCTGGCACTACATACTCACATACATAAATAAATATATCATAAGTGGGGGTGGGCTGGTGAGATGGCTCAGGGGTTAAGAGCAGTGACTGCTCAGTCATGAATTCAAATCCTAGCAATCACATGGTGGCTCACAACCATTCATGATAAGATCCGATGCTCTCTTGAGTGAGGGGGCCAGAGTGAGAGGGAGAAGGGAATGGAGAAGAGAGAGAGAGAGAGAGAGAGAAATTCAATCCACCCCTACCTCTGAATGGAAGAATCTAAGACCACTGCAATGTCCTGAGTCAAAAAAACACACTAGCCAGGCAGTGGTGGCACACGCCTTTAATCCTAGCACTTGGGAGGCAGAGGCAGGCGGATTTCTGAGTTCGAGGCCAGCCTGGTCTACAGAGTGAGTTCCAGGACAGCCAGGGCTACACAGAGAAACCCTGTCTCGAAAAACAAACAAACAAACAAACAAACAAAAAACCACAAAGATTGGCTTCAGCTGTAGATAGGAAGACACCAGATCCACTAGTAGGAAGGCACTAATTGAATCTTCGTCTTTTGAAAATGCTAATGTTGAGTGCATCGATGTCATTGGACCGTTAAGGACATGATCAGCACCTGTAGCTCAACAGATCAGACAAAAAGTTGATATTAGATCTCACTCACCTGAGATGACCTCGTTAGGAGAAGCCATCCCTAAAGGTTTTGAGAAAATCCAAACTCACAAATGTATTTTTTCCATCAGTTAATTAATTAATTAACTCATGTTATATACCAAACACAGCCACTCCCTCTCCCCAGCCCCACCCCATCCCAGCCCTTTCACCATCCCCTGTCTCCTTCTCCTTTGAGAAGGAGGAGACCTCCTCCTGGGCATCAACCTACCCTGGCCCACCAAGTCACTGCAGGACTAGGTGCATCCTCTCCCACTGAGGCCACACAAGGCTGCCCAGAAACAGATCCACAGGCAGGTGACAGAGTCAAGGACAGCCCTGACTCCAGTTTATGGGGGACCTGCATGAAGACCAAGCTGCGCGACTGTTACATATATATGAGGGGGGCTAGGTACAACCCATGCTTGCTCTTTGGTTGGTGGTTCATTCTTTAAGAGCCCCCAAGGGTTCAGGTTAGTTGACTCTGTTGGTCGTCTTGTGGAGTTCCTGTTCCCTTCAGTCCCCTCAATCCTTCCTACAACTCTTCCACAAGACTCCCCGAGCTCCATCTAGTGTTTGGCTGTGGGTCTTTGCATCTGTTTCTATAGATGAAACAAACAAACAAACCAGAAGGGGCCAAGGAACAGATAAATTGGGAAACATCTATTGATCATAGTTTAAAACTAAAGATATTTATAAATAATTGAAGGAATGATAGACACCAGAGCTGATGCAACTATAACCTCTCCAAAATCTTGGTCCTCAGATTGGCCTCTCCAAGAGGTAGATATCAAATTTCAAGAAGTTGGAAGTTTATCCCAGGTAAAACAAACTATCAGATGGCTTAAATGTATATGGCCAGAAAGTCAAATAGGAAGATCAAGGCCATATGTGCTTGAGATAGCCATAAACTTATGGAGAAGGAATCTGTTAAAACAATGGAAAACACAGATTAGACTCCCTCCAACTTCAGGGACAAGGATGGAAATAGGTGATGCTCCTGAATAAAAAAATGTTTAATGTTATCAAAGACAGTTACAGACTCCTCAATCTTAGTTGGGGGAGCCACTGATGATAAAACACCAACAGCCTGACCACTAAGGTGCTTGACTGAGCAGCCTGTTTGGATTGAACAGTGGTCTAAGACAAAGGAAAAATTATAGGCACTAGAACAGCTGGTCCAAGAGCAGCTGGGGGCTCAACACATAGAGGAGTCCATCAGCCCTTGGAACTCTCCTCTGTTTGTCATTAAAAAGAAATCTGGCTGGGCTGGAGAGATGGCTCAGCAGTTAAGAGCACTGGCTGCTCTTTTTTTTTTTTTCTTTTCTTTTTTTTTTTTTTTTTTGGTTTTTCAAGACAGGGTTTCTCTGTGTAGTTCTGGTTGTCCTGGAACTCACTCTGTAGACAAGGCTGGCCTCGAACTCAGAAATCTGCCTGTCTCTGCCTCCCAAGCTCTGGGATTAAAGGTGTGCACCACCACCGCCAGGCAAATGTGTAGCCCAGGCTGACCTCGAACTTGTGATCCTTCTGCTTCTGCCTCCTTCAGCAAATCCTACTGGTGTGCACCACCACTACCGGCATGGCTGCTCTTTCAGAGGCCCTGAGTTCAATTCCCAGCAACCACAAGGTGGCTCACAGCCATCTGTAATGGGATCTGATGCCCTCTTCTGGTGTGTCTGAAGATAGTTACAGTGTACTCACATACATAAAGTAAATAAATAAACCTTTTTCAAAAAACCAAAAACCTTAGAAAGAAAAGAAGAAAGAAAGAAAGAAAGAAAGAAAGAAAGAAAGAAAGAAAGAAAGAAAGAAAGAAATCTGGCAAATGGAGGACGTTGACAGATCTCAGAGCAGTAAATAAAATTATTAACCTATGGGTTCTTTACAGCCTGGAATCCTATTGCCATCCTTGTTACCTAAGGAATGGCCTATCATAATGATTGATCTAAAGGACTGTCTTTTCACAATTCCTTTGCAAGAACAAAATAGAGAGAATTTTGCCTTCTCCTCTACACTCAACTCTACACCAACCGAAAGGGACTTTGTGGCAATCCTACCACAAAGAATGTTGAATAGTTCTACCTTATGTCAATATTCTGTACACCATTGAAAGTAATTCATAAGGAATTTCTCCTATCCTTAATTTACCATTATATGGATGATATTTTGCTGGCTGATTCAAATGGAGGTACCTCAGAAAGAACGTTTAATGAAGCAAAAAAAAATTTACTTTTTTGGGGTTTACAAATTGCTCCTGAAAGAATACAAAGAGGAGATTCTCTTAATTATCTAGGATATAAGTCTACAGGAAATTTAACCACAAAAGGGACAAATCAGGAAAGATCAATTAAGAACTCTTAATGATTTTCAAAAATTGCAGGGGGATGTTAACTGACTACAGCCTACAATTGATTTGACTACTCAAAGGTTAACTAATTTGTTTAAAATCTTTCAAGGTGACAAAGACTTAAATAGTCCAAGAAGATTATCAGCAGAAGCTGAAAAGGAATTGACTCTGATAGAAAAAACTATAAGATGCACATAAAGATCCAAAGACAGCTTGTAGTTAGTTATTTTGCCTTGAACTTATGGGGACATTGTTTGCTGCAGCAATGGGAAACAGATTAACATTCCTCCAACCTCAGAAACAAGTGATAAAATTAAGAATGCTTCTAGCCGGGCAGTGGTGGCTCATGCCTTCAATCTCAGCACTTGGGAGGCAGAGGGAGGTGGATTTCTGAGTTTGAGGCCAGCCTGGTTGGTCTACAGAGTGAGTTCCAGGATAGCCAGGGCTACACAGAAAAACCCTGTCTCGAAAAACCAAAAAAAAAAAAAAAAAAAAAAAATAGACTTGAGAATTCCAAGGGCCAGTGGACTTTTCTGAGTTGAGCCTAGATACAGACTGTCCAGGTTGTCCATAAGCAGGACACAACAGGTGTTGGTCTTTCAAAGGTGCCAACTGCCCTACTTTTAAAATGGTTAACTGACAAACCTGTTGGACATTAGCTTTTGAGTTTTCTTCTTAAATAAAAAGGGTATTTTTTGTTTAGTATTTAAAACACGAGTAACTGATTTACAATGTTTTAAGTAAATTCAAAGGGTTACTACAGTTTAAACTTGTTTTCTAAATCTCTAAGAGTTAAAGTGACTTGGAGCTAAGACAAACTTTGAATATATATACATAAAGAAAAGGGGATAAATAGGTATATTTATCCACTAAGGATATTAGTTTTCTTTTTTTATCCACTAAGGACATTAATTTAAAAATGTAAAAGGATTTTTAAATTTTCAATACAAAGATAATACTTTTTCTACTGCCAAAAAACATTTTGCCTTAGGAAAGCTATAACCTGTCAAAAAGGGGAAGCTACTTAAGAGAGAACAATGCAGAAAAGGAGGCAGTTTTACCAGGAGAGTTTTACAGAGACGGGTTGAAGAGAGAACAAGCCAGACAGAATGAGGCAGAAAAAGAGGAGCCAGAAGATTTAGACTGCCAAGGTTAGTGTGAGACCAAGCAGAGCAACTCAGGAGAAGCCAAGAGAAGCCAAAGTGAATCCATCAGCTTGTAGACGAGTTTGAGCCAGAACAGCTGAATTTAACCAGCCAGCCAGAGTTCAGAAAGAACAAGAAAGGGTGATTAGCAGTAAGTCTCAGAGGCTGAAAACGTTCTAGGCCTACATTAGATTATATGGAGGCTAGAAGCTTCCAAGACCAGGCCAAGGTTAGTAGACTGAGGCAGTAAACTCAAATATGACAATTATTTCAGGAGAAAAAAGCTTCATTTTACAAGGTTTGATAAACTGAAATGTGTGCACCACTAAAACATATATTCAGGATTTCAATGGGCTTTAACTTCTGAAAAGGCTGATTCTGTAATTACACATTTTCCAGAAGTTATAGCCATTATGGGATACCTGTACAATTTTTTGTTTTTTTTTTTTTTTGTTTTTTTTCGAGACAGGGTTTCTCTGTGTAGCCCTGTCTGTCCTGGAACTCACTCTGTAGACCAGGCTGGCCTCAAACTCAGAAATCTGCCTGCCTCTGCCTCCCAAGTGCTGGGATTAAAGGCATGCGCCACCACTGCCCAGCCTGGATACCTGTACAAATTAAGACTGACAATTCTCCAGCATATGCCTCTAGTGAAATGAAGCAATGTTTTGCATATTATAATATAATATAACGCATATTACAGGTATAACACATAATCCTACAGGACAAGCAGTAAAGAGTTCCAATCTTACTTTAAAAGAGATGTTTAACAAACAAAAAGGGGAAACAAAAACCCCCAGAGATAGATCACTTAATACTTTATTAACTTTAAATTTTTTAAATGCTAATGAGCAAAAAGCTACAGCTGTTTTGAGACATTGGCTTATGGGGGGAAAATGTTTATTTAAAAAATGTCCAGGACTGGAGAGATGGTTCAGCGGTTGGGAGCATTGATTGCTCTTCCACGGGTCCTGGGTTCAATTCCCAGCAACCACATAGTAGTTCACAACCATCTATAATGGGATCTGATGCCCTCTTCTGGTGTGTCTGAAGAAAGCAACAGTGTACTCACATACATAAGATGGATCTTTTTTTTTTTTTTTCCAGTTTTCTTTTTTTTAGTTGTTCGAGACAGGGTTTCTCTGTGTAGTCCTGGGTGTCCTGGAGCTCACTCTGTAGACCAGGCTGGCCTCGAACTCTCGAACTCAGAAATCCGCCTGCCTCTGCCTCCCAAGTGCTGGGATTAAAGGCGTGCGCCACCACTGCCCAGCAAAATGGATCTTTTTGAGAAAAAAAAAAAAAAGGCTTATCCCCCAAAAGAAAAACAGGAAAAGGGTTCTTCTCGGGGGGGGGGGGGGTTGCATATGTTTACACAGAAAAAGAAAAACTGTGGATCCCATCCAAATTGATAAAAATCATATTTGACCCCCTTCAGGGAAAGACTCCCTGAAGATCTGGGATATAGACAAGAAGAGGGTGATCACCAAAGTCAACAAGGCAGGTAATATATGTGCTGGTTCCTCTACACGGGAATAGATATCAGACGACTGAGACATAAACGTCCATGCATAGCCAAAAAATCTTGTTGGATAAAGAGTACTCATGACTCATTAATACTGGCCATCCTTTTATTTGACATAGATAAAAACATTTTATTCCAGTTTGGCTATAGTTCAGACTAGCTTATACATATGACGTCTTTCTAAGATGTCTTTCACCTGTTCAAACAAAGAGCAAAGACTCTTCATTAACTGATCTGCACACCTTGCCATTCTACACGTTAATGTAGAACTGCATATTATTTGTGAGAGTTTATATGTTTCCAGATACCAATGCAACCAATACAGCCCTTACAAGAGTCATCCTCGGAAATGCTGAAATATTGAGGCATATTGTTGCAACATCCTGTCTGATCATACCTCAGACTGCCTGGATGCTGTTTCCTCAATACCCTTGCTTCCAGGACAACTTCAGAACAACTCACTTGCTCCCACGTTTCATACTATTGTAATCAGGACTCTCGAACTCAGAAATCCGCCTGCCTCTGCCTCCCAAGTGCTGGGATTCAAAGGCATGCGCCACCACCGCCTGGCTAGAAAGAGTCTTTTTATTTAGACAAAAAAGAAGAAATGTTGGGGGTTGGTCTGGTACCGCTGTTTTCAAATGCTAACCACTTGCCCCCAGACCTGGTTGCAGGCGCAGGAGCGAATGATATTTATAAACTTTGCTCACCCATCTCCTCTGACTGGTTAAATAAAAGTTGCTAACAGCCAATTACCGGAGAGAATAGAGGCATAGTACTACGGCTACAGTGTATATGCAGTGGAGCTCGGTGATTGGGCAGTGTGAAAGGTAGGCGGAGTGAGGAGTTGGGAGGAGAGAAGGAGAAGAAAGGGAGAGAAAGGAGGGAGAGGAAGCAGCCTTGGAGAACCACGGATGAGTCAAAAGCTGTTCTGGTAGAACTTCTATCAAAAGGTTAGATATTGGGTAACAACTCTAACTGCGTGGGCATCTTGTTGATTGAGCATTTCTAAATATATAAATCCTTTAGATAATCATTAAGCTTTAAGAGTCTTCTTTCAACGGGGTACCGTGAGGATGGCAGATATTGTCTGGGGTTCAGCCGAGCTTTGTGGACGCAGTGTGGTGGATTGGCAGAGCCATCCGCTACATTGGCAACTAGTTAGCTGGATCCCAGGTCAGAGCCGAGGAGCAGAGGGAACATGGTGGATGCCCAGAAGCAAGCCGAACAACCGGGTGCCGTTTTCTAAATATCTCCCGTTTCAAGGAGGGGTTTCAGTTACCAGGCTGTGGGTCAGGATATGGACCATGATGCTGAGAGGCGAGGGAAGGAGAAAGAAGACAGAGTAGGAAGTCTCCACTGGATGGGATGGACCAGGAGCACGTGGCTGAGAGAAGCGCACCCTGAGGGCAGAACTGGAGCAGAATGAGCCTGGCAAGACTCAAAGAACCAATAACTTTGGGAGGGCAGCTGGGAAATAGCCAGTGTAGTGCAGAAAAAGATATTGCGGTAATCAGCCGGTAATTGTGTTAAAGCTAATTAAATAAACTGATAAAACTCTGCTTCAGTTACTGGGGAGGGGGCGGTGCTGGCCAGGTCATAGTAAGTATTACAGTTATTAAATACCACACAATAACACACTCACTTCCCACTCTAACCTTCTTTCTCTCCTACCTAGTGCTCCTTGGGGCATAGAAGAGATCAGGGTGAAATAAGGGTTGGGAGAGTGGTAAATAGAACCCAATAAAGTAAACAAAAATGTATGCCTGCAACTGAGCGCTTGCCTAGAGTGCATGAAGGCCTGGGTTTGATCTGTAGCACCACATAAACCAGGTGTGATGGTGCGAACAGCACTGGGGAGGTAAAGGAAGGAAGACTGATATTTTAAGGTCACTGAGGAGTGGTGATACATGCTGCATGCTCTTAGTCCTAGCACTCAGGAGACAGGGGCAGGCAGATCTCTGAGTTCAAGGGCAGACTGGTCTAAAAGCAAGTTCTAGGACAGTCAGAGCTACACAGAGAATCCCTGTCTCAAGTGAGGGAGAGGGGAGGGGAGAGGAGAGAGAGCACTGCACTGGAGAAAAGAACCTAATGCCTCTCTCTCTGACTGTGAGGTACAGGAGACAAGCTTTATCAAAAGGAGGACAGGAAGATGGCTCCAAGTGCTTGGCACCAAGTGTGATGGCCTGAGTTCAATCCCCTGCACTGACGTGATTTTCCTCTGAACACCACACAGGTGCTGTGGCAGAAATTTCCTGCCCAGTGTATTTGCAGCGGGGCCCTGTCATTGGATAGGAAGAGGGAAACAGAGCTAGGAGTTGGGAGGAGAGAAAAACTGCAGGGAAAGAGGAGAAGGAGGAACAAGAGAGAGGCAAGATGCCTGCAGACGTACACTCTTGTGTCTCTAGCACTCAAAGGTAGTTATTAATATCAACGTTAGATATTGCTTTAAAACGCCTCACAGGATACTCAAATTTCTGTCTAATGTGGGCCCCACGGGAAACTTGGGTTTTTTTATCCTGCTTGGCAAAGTAGGAAAGGCCTAATAATAGGCACACATAGTATTGAGTATTTGCTAATATCTAAATCCATTGATAATTTTTTAAGCATTAAGAGTCTTATTTTGGCGGGGCGGTGGTGGCGCACACATTTAATCCCAGCACTCTGGAGGCAGAGGCAGGCAGATTTCTGAGTTCGAGGCCAGCCTGGTCTACAGAGTGAGTTCCAGGACAGCCAGAGCTACACAGAGAACCAAAAAAAAACAGTCTTATTTCTACCGGGTACTGGGAATTCTGATATCTACCAAGAGGATGGCAGTTATTGTCAGGGGTTAAGCTGAGCACAATGGGGGTGGCAGAGTTGGCTTAGGGGCCATGACTAGAGCCATGGAGTCCACAGAGCTGACCAGCGGATCCATGCCAACGTTTCATGGGTCCCAGGCCAGCCTCACTGGCCAGCCAGTGCCTTCATTAGTGAAGGAACTTAGAGCCAGCAACCAGGTGGCTGCCATCATTTTGAATATTTGCCACTGCAAGGTGCCATGGCACACATATAACTAAATCAGTGTTAGAAAGGAAGAAACACTTCTGTTCAAATAGAGGTAGGGGAGTCAGTTCAGTAGGGGGAGAAAAAGCCTGATAACATGATTTCCATGTCTGGAACACACATAAAAGCCAAATGCAGTAGCTCACATCTGTAATTCTAGCATTCCTAAACTGAGATTTAAGACAAGTCAGAGGCCTACAATCCATAGCACACAGGAACACATTCAATTTAACACTAATGAATAATTAGTGTAAAATTGTAATTTAACTAATCTGCCACCCCCATTGTGCTCAGCTTAACCCCTGACAATAACTGCCATCCTCTTGGTAGATATCACAATTCCCAGTACCCGGTAGAAATAAGACTTTTTTTTTTTTTTTTTTAGTGTAATTGGGCATAGTCATTCTCATCTCTAATCTCAGCGAGAGGCTGGGACAGAATGACTAAGAGTTTCAGTCCTATCTGGGGTGACCCTGCCTCAAACACACACACAAAAGCAGAGAGGTATTCCAGAGAGATCTATACTAGCTTCTCTTTATGCATCCATTAATGGTCTGAATTTTTTGGTTCTTGAGAATGTTACTAATACATATGAGAGCACCTGGAGGCCATCCTTCTGGCTAGCTGGCAGCTGAACTGGAACCGTCTCTTGGCAAGCATTAGCTGGTCTATGTCTTAGAACACTGTAAGGAACTTTGACTCTGTCCTTGCCCAGCCTTTTTCCCTTCTCTGAAGTCTCAAGTCCAGCCGCCACAGCACCGATACACATGGTAAAGAGCACACAGTTTATTAAAGACAACTCAACAGCACTGGCCTGCTAAGCTCCTGGGAGCTGCTCCCAGGTGAGCTGCAGGCGCTCAGGCTCTGACTCCCCCTTAAGAATCAAGGGCAGAGCCTTCCCTCAGGCAGCACCCATCTGCAGAGCCACCCGACCCAAGACAAAGTCTCCATGTCCTTGGCCTTCATCTCAAGGACCAAGTGGTGGGCACAGGATGCAGGTCTCCCACAGAAACAAATCAGATGCAGTGATTCCAGTAGCAATGGTCCCAGGAATGGGGGCGGGGGTGGGGGAGACAGGCAAGAGGGCAGTATCCTGGGCAGCACTGGCTGTGTCCCAGGCAACAAAGGAGTCAGTATTGGGGCTGAGCCTAGGTTTGGGGGCGATCAGGATGGTAGGAGTGTATATGGCCCGTATCTTTGAGAATGCAAAGGCATCAGCTCTGGCCTCCCTTACACTCAGTTCTAGTGTAGGGCTGGCAGCTCTCCCAGCCAAGAACGGGGAGAGGATGTCTGTCAGGGTTAACCTGGGGAAATAAGACAGTCCATACCTCCAACTCCTTTAGCATCCCAGCAGCCCCTCTCCACCCACAGTCCTGGGTCACTTGTCAATCTGCAATAAATAGCTAGTCCGTGTCTAAATAAATAGTAAAAATCCCCCAGGTCTTGTGTACTGGAGAGAAGGTAGTAAAAGGCAAGCAGAGTGCCAGCACAGCTCAACCCAAGCTAGCTAAAGCCATCGCCTAGGAAGGCAGGAAGTGCTGCTCACTGCTCTCAGAAGGCTTCAGGTGGCAGCCGCTGGAGCCTCGCTCCTGCTGGCCAGTCTCAGGAGAAGGTGAGAACCCTTGCTGCCAACCTGCCTTCAGGACTCAAGCTACTTGACCTCCATATGAGAGATGGAAGAAACATGGTCAGAAGTCTACTTGCTGTACAGGGTTCAGGGAACCCAGCCCCTCTGCAGCCTTCATCCCAACCACTGTCCCCGGGAGCAGAGAGGAGATGTAGCACTCTGGCACTGTGAGGCTCTACACCTTCCAGTTTAGCCAACCCTGGACCCAGAGAAGCATCTTTGGTCCCCCTGCCCTTGACAAGCCCCACACACCCTGGGTGAGAACATGGAAACCAAGGGGATGAGAGCTTTACTGACATTCCAACTCACAGGCACACAATAGCCGGGCATCTTAATGTCTGACTGTAGACTAGCCCCGTCCCTCCTTTTTCCATTCCTGGGCAGAAAATGGCCCAAAGCTTCACAGACTGCCTCGGTCAGCAGCACTTGGCTTCCACAAGCAGAGAAGGGTCAGGGTCCGCTGACCAGTTACTAGGGATTCCTGCTCTGATGAGGGGACCTGGGGTCCTCAGGCTGGGGATGGGAACAGGATGCCAACAAAGCTGGCCTACAGGGCTCTCACTAAGTTACACTCCTTCTGAATGCTGGCTTCAGGGAGCAGAGGGGAGGAGAGAGGGAAGAGTAAGGTGCCCCAAGAAAAGGGTAAAGAGGAAAAGACAGAGGAAGAAGAGCAGAAGTCACACATGCCTCTGGCAAAGGAAGAAAGGGACAGGCAGAGGTAGACACAGAGAAGGGGAAGCGGCCTTAGAGGGTTCCCACATACCCTCACCCCACTGCCAGGGCAAGTGTGAACACACAAGTACATACATATACAAAAGCAGAGACCAGGGCATGTGTGAAGACACAAGTAAACACATACACAAAAGCAGAGACTCAGGAGACAGCCCTACCGGCCATGAGCAAACACATCTGACAGAGACAAACGGTGACCCTAGAACTGGTAGTCCCTAAGCTCTTCTGGGGGTGCTTCCCCAGGTAGCTTGAGCACCGACACTCAGAAGTGGTTTCTGGCCCATTAGCCAATTACCTCCCTGACCAGGACCCAGGGAAGATGAAAGCACAAAGAGTGAGGAGCTACTGGGCAGAGGCATGGCACGACCCTGTCAGCCTGCTAGGCCAAATGGCCCCAGCCCCAGGAAGCCAGTTCAGGAGCTCCAGCCCTTTTGAGCAGTCTGGGTAGAGGGTCCCAGGGCTGAAGTGCAGGGAGCGTGGCAGGGCTGAGCACTGGGAAGGAGCACAGGCAGGCGGTGTGCTCCCAGAGCAGCCTGGACCATGGGAGCCAGGTTGGGAAGACCTGGAGCTGGCCAAGACTGCAGCTTTCCCTCAGGCTGGCCTCACAGGCTCCTCTGTGTCCCAACAAGGGTATGGAGGCAGGTGGCTGCTCTTCCAATCCTAGGCCTTCTGCTACCAGGTTACTTTGAGTCTTGGAGTTCCTTGGCTTTCTGTAGGATCTTGCTGACGTCTGTGATGGGGTAATCCTGGACACCGGGAAAGTCACAAAGTCAGAGTACCCTGCCCCAAACACTGCATGTCACTAAGGTCATACCTCCCAAGATCCAAAGGGCCTCACAGCGTGTATTAGAACCAGAGTACCCAAAGGCCTTAGCCCTCACATCTCCTGACACAGAACCTGGAGCCACACCTATGAAGAGCATGGAGCTAGCTCAGGCAATGTAGCCCTTAGTCTTCCAGTCACCTCAGGAGGCCCAAGGAGGGATGCTGTGATTATACCCACCTTACAGACCTAGCTAGTGAGTAAAGGTATTGAAAACCATCTCTAGGCCAGTTGTTGGGGAAGACACCAAGGCCTAGAGACAAAATCACTTGTCTCAAGTCACATGACAAGCAGAGCAGAACAGACATGAACCTCAGGCTGTCAGACACCCCCTGACACACACCTCCCTGGCCTGAGATAAATCACCAACTTACATATACTACACTGCATACATTACACTCAAGGTCTGTGAAGACCAGAACTCAACTCAGATCCAACCAGATGTGTTCCAGGAGTCTAGACCCTGAATGTACAATATGCGCTCCTGTTTCTGGCACTAGCCTGCCAGTGTCTGTGACTGGCCTCACCCCACCAACCATTACCTGCAGAAGCCGCATGTTGACAGTGAAGTCCCCCTTCAGCAACTGCTCCCGGATCAGTCTGTAGGGAAACAAGGAGCCATACTGCGGGGCCTGGCTGCCCCAGGGGCAGGCCTGCAGGCCCAGGCTTACTTCAGCTGTGGAGGCTGGCCCCTGCTTACTGCTCAGAACTAGACATCCCTCCCCAGAACTCTCCTTCAGGATGGGCCAAGCATGACTCCACTCACATGAGCATAGCACAGCAGACCAGGAGGAGGAAATCAAAGCGGTTGCCATCAGCAAAGAGGGAGTCCCAGATTCGGATGACATCAGGCAGCAAGAACTCCTGGGATAGCAGCAGTGTCAGCCATCGGAAGGCAAAGAACTGAGGCTTGATACTCTGCTCTTGCTGGGGGACAAAGGGGACGTGTCAGTTGCATAAAGAGGACACAGCCTAGGAGCAAGTCCTGTTCAGGGCCCTCAAAGGGGCCGTACAAAGCCTGGGTCCACTAAGAGGGCAGCTGTTTCTAGTTCCAGCCAATGTTGCTATTTCTTCAAGGCACATGAAAAATCCTAAACTTTACACTAGCCTTTATTTGGTGATGATGTCAACTCATGCTTCTCCTCCCCTTGGATCTCTGGTGCAGCATGAGGACCAGTACCAGGCACTGTACCTGTGCTCAGCTCACATAACCATGGAACAACGCTATAGAGGAGGGATCCCCAGACAGCAGCACCCTAGTGAGCCACAGAGGATGGTAACAAAGCATACACCACACAGTAAAAACAGAATTCTGTGTTTGTTTAAAGAATGTAAGCTTCAGCCAGGTGGTGAAGGGTGCACCCTTCAGTGCCAGCACTCGGGAAGCAGAGGCCACCAGATCTCTGCAGTATCTCTGAATGTGCTGGGCCTTTGGCACCTTCACCTGCTCCATCTTGCCAGCAATATTCTTTTCTTCTTTTTTTTTTTGTTTGTTTTTTTTTCACGACAGGGTTTCTCTGTGTAGCCTTGGCTATCCTGGTACTCAGATCTACCTGCCTGCCAGGGCTGGATTTGTTTTTTGAGACAAAGTCTCTCTGTACTCCTGGCTGGCTAGGCTGAATGCAGGCACCATCGCATTCCACCTATAAGTGCCATTCTTAACTTTACACTCCCAGCTACCGTCTTCTATGTTCAGCTGCCAGGCCTCCCAGGCCTTTCTCAGCACATGGAGCAGTGCTCCCTGGAGCTGGGCCAGCATCCTAAGTACTGCCCAACTGTGCTCAACTGCAGCCACTTGCAGCTGTGTCCCTGGCCTGTGCGTCCTGCCCATGTGCCAGGTTCTCACCAGCTTCAGGTAGAGCTCTACATCCTTGTCCTTCAAGGTGGAGTACACCTTTTCCATCTTGTAGGTGATACCACACTGGGAGTCATCCAGGCTCTTGATGAAGTTGTCCCGGATCTCAGCCATGAGGTTGGTGAAGCAGAAAAAGGTATCTGCTTCAGCATGCTCTGGGACAGATAGTGGGGTGTGAGTGGACACAGGGATGTGAAGTATTCTTGAGTCCCGCCTCACCTCTCACCCTCAAGATAAGTGGCCCACTTCTGAGTGTCAGAAAACTGGCCCTAGCAGTTGGAATGCTGAAGGCTGGAATGGGTGCTTCGCCTTGGCTACTGTCCACTCCTAAAGCCATCAGCAGTTTGCCCTCACCTAGGCACACGGTCCCTCAGCAGACTGTCATGCACTCTGCTAACGGCTTCTCGTGACCATCTGTTCTGCCTCAAGTCACAAGCATCAACAGATCCGTAAGAAGCAGAACTTAGGAAGGCAGAGCTGGAAAGGGTCTCAGATCCAATCCAGCCAGGCCCTGCTCTGACATGGGCACAGGTGTACGAAAGCAGATGAGGCTTCTGAGCCCCATGTAGCCTATCGGTCAGCCCAGCCCCATTCTCTTTCTCTAGGGAGTCAGGAATGGGAGAGTCCGGCAGCTAAGAGCTTGTCTACCTTTCCACTCGCTGTTTGGATCGGTGGCAAAGGTATAGTAGAGGGGGCCCACGATTTCATTCATGCCCTGCACATAAGCGATGCCAGGGTTGAGCTTGGCATAGATGAACAGGATCCGCTCCACCACCTCCCAGTGGGCTTCGCAACCATTGGGTAGAACCTCATACTCGTTCAGGGCTGATGGTGTGTTGTTCTTGTGCGGGGAGCTCATCTGCAGAGATGGGAGAGCCTGTTAGCAAATGTTTCCATTAAGCCCAACTTGACAACATCTTAGCTTATGGGCAAGACAGGGCAGGAGGAACATGTCAGGCCCAAGGAAGAGGCAGGCTCATGAGCAGGAAGAGATTTCCAGTTACAACTAGGTTAAAAACAAAGGTCACAACAGGTATGATGGAACACAATTCCCTTTGTACCAGTACTTGACAGGCAGGGGCAAGCAGATCTCTGAGAGTTTGAGGCCAAGCAAGGCTATCTTAACAAAGCAAAACAAAACAAAACCAACCAAACAACAAAATAGAGGTTATGCCGGGTGGTGGTGGTGGTGCATATCTTTAATCCCAGCACTCAGGAGGCAGAGGCAGGTGGATCTTAGTTTGAGACCTGACTGGTCTACAGAGGGAGTTCCAGGACAACCAGAGGTTAGAAAATCATCTTAAAAACAAAAACAAAAACAAAATAAACAGAGGTTCCTTCTGAAATAAGGAAGTGATTTGTGGGAAAACACAGAGAAAGAACTTCCTGTACAGTGAGAAATTCTAATCAAGACTGGTGGTACACGGGGGTAACCAATATGTGTGTGTGTGTGTGTATAATGTATGTATGTATGTATGTATGTATGTATGTATGTATACATCTAGCTATGTACATAAAATGTGTGCTTTTTTAAGTTTTTTTTTCCTTTTTTTGTTTTTTCTTCATTCTTTCTTTCTTTCCTTCTTTTCTTTCTTCTTCTTCTTCTTCTTTTTTTTTTTTGGTTTTTCGAGACTGGGTTTCTCTGTGTAGCCCTGGCTGTCCTGGAACTCACTCTGTAGACCAGGCTGGCCTCGAACTCAGAGATCCGCCTGCCTCTGCCTCCCAAGTGCTGGGACTAAAGGCGTGCACTACCACCACCTGGCCATGTGCTTTTTAAAAAAACAAAAAACAAAAAAACAAAACAAAAACAAAACAAAAACAAAAAACTTTCGTTGTAAAGTATACACTAATGAGAATAAAGACTTGGCTGCGTGTGGTGGTGCAAACCTGTAAATCCCAGCACTGGGAGGCAGAAGTGGGAGTCTCAGGAGTACAAAGCCAGCCTCAGATATATTAGCGTTCTGGGCCAACCTGGACTATATAAAAAACAGCTCAAAATAAGAGAAGGAGTCCCACTCATCTGCTGCTCCGTAGAACCTCATAAAATTCGGGGATTTTAATGCCTCAGCTCTGTCCTTGGCCTGTTTCAGCAGTGATGCAGAGCTGGAGGACTTGCAGGTGTGACCCTGGCAGAGACTGTGAGGCTTAAAACAGAGTACAGGGAGTCCAAGCTACCTCCACATACCCGTCATACATGTATATAACAGAAACACATGCACCTCAGGAGCAGACCAAACTCCTTCACTAATCCTACACGCTTCTCAAGGCCCTTTTCTCTTTTCTTTTCTCTTCTTGTCTTTTCAACAGAGCTGGGCACAGCACAAGCTCGGCTTCAAACTCATCATCTAGCTGAGGGTGACCCTGAGCTGATCCTCCTGCCTCAGATCACAGGCTTTGAGCCATGGCACCACTTTTGAACATTTCAAGAGGAGAAAACGGAGGCTCACAGAGACCTGAACCTGGACTGGATAGCTCAGAGCCTGGGGCCGAGCCTCTGGAGCAGGATGTCTCCCAGGAATGCCCAGTGTTCCCAGCTTTCCAAGAACCTGCTTTCCATGACCTCATTTCCTCCTGCAGTTCCACAGAAGCGATCATATCCAGATTACAGAGCAGGAAAAAGCCCAGAGTCACACAGAAGGCTGACTTAACCCACCCTACCACAGGTCTAGAGTCTCAGGGATGAGGCTTTGGGTGGATCCAGGACTGTGAGGACCAGCTCCAAAGGTAAAATGGAAAGAACCTGACCCTCATATACAAAACTACACCAAACAACCAATAGAGCTGTGCCTTCAACAGTATCCATACAAGACAGATGCACAAGGGAGCCGCAGTCCCCTCTCCAAGCCTGGGCTCTGCACAGCTCCAGTGGATCCCAACCCTGCAGCGGGTACATGGGACCAGGAGTGACAGCACCTGTCCTGACGGCCCCATTATCGACTTGACTAGTTTGCAACTCAAGAGAGAAATCTGTGCAGTCCTCCACTCCCTGGTGGGGAAGCTTCAGAGCAGGGCCTTCCCACTGAAGAAAGCCAGTGACACGTGGGAACGAGTCACTGCTATAGGTCCCAAAGCACTGGGTCTACATGTAGAAATAAGGTCACACACCTCATGTTGGGGAATGGGGATGGGTCTGCTAGATCTTAGAGCTCAACAACCCTCAGGGCTTACCCAGCACAGCCCCCTTCTATGTTCCTGATCTGTCCCTGCTCTAACCCAACCTCTGGCCTGGACAAATGCAGTCATCTGTTTTGATATCCTTTCCATGCTTGAGGTCACCTGAACCGAAAGTTGCTGCCTGCTTACAATTCTCCAAGGGCCCACCAGTCATCTGGACAAAGGCCTGTCTCATTTCCCCACTACCAACTCTTCTGGTACCTTCCAACACTTTCCCTCATGTCCCACTGCTTCTAGCCATATGGGCCCTCATTTTTTTCTGTGATACAAATGATAACTTAAGTTTTTGGTGTGAAACACAGAGCTGAATGATCATGGCAGTGGCTGCAGGTCCTGACAGGCAGTCCCAGACTGGCTGCTTTGACCATGTGAGGATGAGCTTTGTCATGAGCTGTGCTATGGCCATGGTGGCCAGGGCGCTGTTTTGTACCTTCTCCTGTTTCTCTGGGTAGCCCTGGCTGTCCTAGAACCCATTCTGTAGACCAGGCTGCCCTGAAACGCAGAGATCTGCCTGCCTCTGCCTTCCAACTGTTGGGACTAAAGGCGTGTGCCACCACAGCCCAAAATTTGTTTATTTAAAGTTTTTCTTCTAAAAAAAAAAGACAAATTATATTTATTTAGTAAATAAGTTTCAACAGTCAACACAAATCCAAAACTAGCCAGCTGCCCTAGGACTGAGAAATGGCTGGGTGACTTCCTCCAGGGTATTCAGGAAGGGCAAGGTAGCACGTGTACAGCACTCAAGGCAGTGGGCAGCCAGCTCACGATCTGTGCTGTGCGGTGGTAACAGGACATGCACTGGATGGCCTGTGCCAGGAGGAGGCTCAGTGGCCACTGGGGGCTCAGTCAGCGCCCCCTTCTGGGCCATCTGGCACTCTCTCATCTGAGGACTTGGCACATGCCTTCCATAAAACTTGGGGAGCTATTTCTCCTCTGTCCTTCCCGTCCTGCCATCTAGATCAGCTGCAGCCTCTGGGGCCCACACCTGGATGGACGGTTAGCTACCCCAATAATGCTCACACCACACTGGGACATCTCTCAGAACCGTCTCCACTTTACCTCTAGCAGGAGCACCTAAGATGACAGAATCTCAGCCTACAGCTAGCATGCCCAGCTGGAACAACAACAAAGGGTCTCTGACAGTAACCTTCAGAAAGCACCCAGTGCCCTGTGGACACTGCACCAAAGGAGACATGAAGGAACAGCCTGTCGGGAAAAGCCCCCAGGGGCTGGAGAAATGGATGGCTCAGTGGTTAAGAGCACTGGCTGCTCTTCTAGAGGTCCTGAGTTTAATTCTCAGCAGCTACAAGGAGGGTCACAACTATGTATAATAAAATCTGATGTCCTAGCATGCATGCAAACAAGCAGATAGAGCACTTTTTGGTTTTGTTTTGTTTTCGAGACAAGGTTTCTCTGTGTAGTCCTGGCTATCCTAGAACTCACTCTGTAGACCAGGCTGGCCTCGAACTCAGAAATCCACCTGCCTCTGCCTCCCAAGTGCTGGGATTAAAGGTGTATTGCCACCACTGCCCAGCTCAGATAGAGCACTCATATTAAATAAATCTTTAAAAAAAGAAAGAAAGAGAGAAAGAAAAGAAAAGAAAAGAAAAGAGAGAAGAAAGAAAAGAAAAACCCCTGGGAGCTAGAGAGACGGCTCAGCAGTTAAGAGCACTTGTTCTTGTAGAGGACCAGAGTTCAATTCCCAGCACCCACAATCATCCATGGCTCCAGTTCCAAGGGATCCAATGCCTTTTTTTTACCTCTACAGGCACGAGACATGTACACGTATGTACATGGTGTACACACACATACACAGGCAAACACTCAAAAGGAATAAATAAGTCTTAAAAAGAAAACTATCCCAGGACTCCAACTGGCTCTTACATTTGTGACCCCGCTTCGGTTCCGGGCCACCGTTTGAGACTTCAGTGTTGTCTGCTCCACCCGCTTACGAAGGGTCTCAAACTCATTTTGTGGGTCCAGGATGAGGAGGCAGGGGTACTCAGTGGCTCTTTGGAAGAAGGATATATCTGGGCACAGCCTCCTATTGGAATGGAAAAAATGCTATCAGTCAGAGTGGAGGCCGCAGCCAGGCAGGCCCAAGTATCCTCAGAAATGGTTGGTTTGATTTATCTTGCAGTGCTAGGGACTAGGTCCATGCTAGACAAGTGCTCTACCACTGAGCCACCCCTTTGACTATTTGCTTGTTTGTAATTGTAACATCACAGCTGGGTATGGTGGCTTACACATATAATAAAGTACTTGGGAGGCCTAAGGCAGGAGGATTGCCCTGAATTCAGGGTCAGCTTCAGCTACGGCATGAGCTCCAGACCAGCCCTGACACAGTATGAGACTTTGTGTCAAAAACTAAAATAATAATATTTATCCCAAGAGACCCAGTGTTTAAAAAGGCAGTAGAAATGGCATATGCATGGTCATTTCATGTGTCTGTGGAGAGGAACACATGTGTAAATACTTTTAAGTGTTTTTATGGGCATACAGCCTAATTCTCATAAACCGTAAACACCTTTCCATGACAAAAGCACTTGTGTAGGAGCTAAGGATATAGCTTGGTGGTAGAACACTTGCCTGGCACGCACTGTATGTAAGGAGTCAAGTCCTGAGTTCAATCCCCAACAAGAAAATCATGTAATTATATACATCTGTCTCCAGATGCACGCATATGTACAAGGATTGACCGTGGTCATCTGATGCTACAGAACACCCTCTGCTGACATAGAGATGTTCGAGGAACATTAGGAGAGCAGCTCGGATCTGGAGCATGACAGGGCAGGCATTCCTGTATACTCCTCAGACCTCCTAGGCATAGCACTCTGCGTACTGGTCTTTAGGAAACACTGACAACTGACTGCCATCACCAGTGAGAGACAGAGCCTAAGTCCCTAATCCTTCCACAAAACTACTACAGGATAGGACTCTTGACCTAAACCTGGCCCACAGCACATCACAGTTACGGCTACTCCAACGCCAGTCTGAGCAGAAAGGCGGCAAGAGCCTGGTGACTGCCCCTTCTGGCATCCGCAGCCTATCTGGAAGGGATCTGGATAGAGAAGCAGCACTCAGGAGGCTAAAGGGGAGGATCTTCCTGTAGGGTATCCCAAGCCTCAGGGCACTCCTGCATCGGTTCCTTAGGCTAGAAAGCTCTTTTGCAAAGCTGACTGCCTCCCATTCCCCTCAAGATTGGCGTCTCCTGCTGAGTCATCTCCTGTAACCGGAGGTCTCTATTTTCTCAGAGCACCAGCTTTCCCCCACAGCACTGCCAGGTTGAGTACTTGACTCCTCACGTAAACCTCAAGCGCTCCTCACATGGGTGCAGCTGGCCTGTGCTGCTGCAAGCAGAATAGGGCCAGGGAGAGATTCCTTGAAATGCCACTGAGTCTGCTCTGCACGACTTTCCTGTCTAAACAAGGAGTGGGTGCCAGAGAGGACTCAGGCAGGCTGCTCAGTGAGGAGAGGGCCTGGCTCCCAGGGCCCTTCTTCAAAGGCTGCTGTCATATGTTATAACCAGCGTGACGTTCCCATATTGCAGCACACGCCCTTAACCTGAGCCATCTTACTTCTACTTCCAAATAAGTCATGTATGAGAGCCTGGGTTACCTGCACGAGGTCAAATAGTCAATTGAAAGCTGTAACTAAACCAGACAAGTAGGCTCCAGTACTCCTTAGCACCCACTCCACTGCGGCATGAACCCCACAGCCTCCCCCCAACCCCCGAAACCCCCAGCACCAGAAGGCTCCTGGGAGCCTCTTACCGGACATCTTTGTCAATCTGCAGTAGCACCTCATTGTCCTTAAAATATGTGTTCCACCTGCTGTCAGGGTTTGGGTTCAGAGGCTGTGAAGACAGGGAGAAGCAGATGCTGTGTCCAAGAACCTGGCAGGGCTGCAGCTCAGAGGCCTCAGACCTGGCTCTAGTCTAGAGACAAGCTCAGTTCACCCAGAGGACACAGCAAGCACAGGCTTCCCAAGGCCTCCCAGGAACTGTAGAGACACTTCCACACTACACAGCCAGCAGCTTGTAGCCTGCTCTGAGCACATCCTGGGTAGCAGTGTACTTGGCAGCGGCCCAGCTACAAGTGCGCCTGTAGCAATCCTCGCCAAGTGCTGTTGAAAGGTTGACTGAACAAATGAATGCCGTCTCATTGTCTACCAGAGCTTTGAGCGGTCAACTCCAATTTGGGAGGATGGCTCTGAGGCCAGCCCAGCTCTACTTCCTGCCCTGTAAAGTCAAGTCTACATGAAGGAGCTCGGTACAGGGAGAGAAGACAGGAGTTTTCCAGACCTCAGACAGGCCCTTCATCCTCATTTCTGCCCAGCTCTTTCTTCAACTATACAATCATAGGACCTTCTTCAAGGACCATGGATGAGAAGAGAAGAATGCCCAGGGGCAGGATGATTGCCTACCACCCTCGAGATGCTTTGCTCAGTCTCCAAGGTCATAAAAATGTAAGCAAACATTTAGTCAGGGGGAAATTCTGGACCTTTGCAAGGGACTGAAACAGGAAGACTGCAAGTTTGAAAGCTTAGGCTACATAGCAAGATCCTGTCTCAAAACAAACAAACAAACAAACAAGCAAAACCATTTCCGGCCTGCAAGATAGCTTAGTGGTTAAAGATGCTAGCTGTACAAGTGTAAAGACCTAAGTTCAGTCCCATGGGGGAAGACAGAACCTGACTCAAAGTTGTCCTCTCATCTCTCTGCATCTGCCGACACACACCCTCCCTGGCTTCCGCACACATACTAACAAGGAATTTTTAGAATAGTTTTTAAAGTTCAGGGTCACTCAGCTATAAATTGAGTTCCAGAGCCAGGTGATGGCATCACACACCATTAACCCAGCACTTGGGGAGGTGATGCAAGTGGGTTTCTGTGGCTACTTCTCCGAGGCCAGCCTGGTCTACAGAGTGAGTTCCAGGACAGTCAGGGCTACATAGAGAAACCCTGTCTCAAAAAACAAAACAAACAAACCCCAACAAAACAAAAAACCCCAAGTCCCAGGCTAGCACAAAATACACAAGAGTCTGTCTTTAAAAGGCCAGGGAGACTTAAGTCTTTAAGGACAGGCACTGCTTATGTAGTTAGGAGAGACTGACGAGTCTTTAAGGGCACACACTGCTTATGTAGTTAGTTTTTCTGAGACTAACTATAGGTGTCTATGTAGCTGTGGGTGTCCTGGGACTCACTCTGTACATCACGTGCCTCTGCCTCCTGAGTGCTAGAATTGAAGCCGCCGTGTACCACCACATGTAGTGCGGAGCATGTACCACTACTCTACCAAAGGACCTCAGTACCCAGCCCCACACGGTGGCTCACGACCATCTGTAATTCTAATTCCAGGGAATATGACCCTGTCTCCTGATCAAGCATACATGTAGTACTCATATAGACATGTAAGCAAAAAGCTCATATGCATAAAACAAATTAAGCTAAAAATAACTTTTAAATTAATCTTTAATTTAAAAAACAAAAATGAGCCAAGTGGTGTTACACACCTTAAATCCCAGAGCTTGAGAGGTAGAGGCCAGTGGTCTAAATATGTGTGTGTGTGTGTGTGTGTGTGTATTTATATACCAATAAAATATGTATATAGCACAAAATACACAAGAGTGTTCAATACACACACACATGCACACACATATATGAATGAACTGGTCAGGTTTCCAGAGACCATGCCCTAAGAGCTCCTGGCACAGAATGACTCCCACAGCACGCAGGACAATACTCACTGCCTATGTTACTGACTAGCCTAGGACTCCTATGATTCCCTTGTGCCTAGCGTAAGCAGGGAGACAGCACTGTTTCTAAGTGGGAGCAAGCTGATGCAGAAGGGAGGACAATGCAGGCCACGCTGCACCTGTCCTCCAGCAGGAAGGGGTCCTGGTTGATCCAAGCCTCTGCCCTCACCCATGCCCACACTCGGCCCATGCTGCCAACCTTACTTACATGGTCCTCAAAGGTCACATCCTCCCTGGATACACCCATGTTGGCCTTGGCAATGCCAGGCTGAATAATCATCTCTCTCAGGAACTGCGAATAGAGTCCCCTGCAGGAGAGACATGCAGAGAAGAGGTGATGATTAAGATCCGACCAGAGAGGCGCTCACAGGAGGCTCCCTCCCTCCGTGTTAGAGGAAACCGCTCCAGTTGCCTCTGATCACAGGTCTCACCTCTGCTTGGCCAGGATGGAAGTCCATGAGGCTCTCTCCAAAGGGAGGTAGTTCAAGAGGATCTGCACAGAGAACAGCACAGCTCTGGCGACACCCCTGTCCCCATCCTGGACAGTGGCCTCCCTCCTCCTAGCCCAGCTCAGCCCCTTCCTCTGCCTTCCTCAGACTGTTCTAAATGAGGAGAGAACTTGGTATTGACGGGCTGGTAACCCGGAACAGAGACTGCCACCATCTCAGCTCTGAGGGTGGTTTCCCTGGTACCAAGGAGTAGAAATCTTTACTGGCACAATGAAGTAGTCCATCCCCAAAGGAGTCCTGGACGGGAAGCCAAGAGAACACAAAACCCCACAGCTTTCAGAGAGACTTCCTCAGACAAGTCAGGAAAATAGTGAAGAGGAGAGGCGGGGAGGAGGTCCATGCAAGACCCAAAGGACTCAGAACCAAGAAGCCCCGCCCCAGGCACACCCACCTTCCAGCAGAGGCACCGAAGTCCGCTCTCACAGGGGATGCCTGTGGACACAGCAGGCAAAGGTCACCCCAAGCCAGAGTTCCAGAACCCCCCAGACCTATGGCTTGGAGCCAGCTGGCAGGAAGTGGAGTGGGTAAGAAGCACAACAGGAACCATTCTCCACCAAAGAAACGTCTACGCCGATGCTAACTCTAACGTCTGTCTACAGCCCTGTCCCCTAGCCCAGAGGCTCCTCTGTACTCTGAATATTCTCATCTTTGATATTTCTTCTTCAAAGGGGCTCGTATCAACTAACCACTCTATTCAAAGGCAGGCTCTTCTTTTAGGGGAGAGGGCAGAGTCTCATATAGCCCAGGCTGACCTCAAAGTTACTGTGGAAGCAAGGAGGAACTTCTGCTCCTCCTGCCTCAACCCCAAGTGGCAGGATTACAGTGTGCTTGGTCGTCATGTCTGATATACAGGGTCGAAAGTGAGCTAGAACTCACTCTGTAGACCAGGCTGGCCTTGAACTTGTGGCTTCTCCATACCACCCATCAAAACTGGAACTACATAGAAATCTTCGTGTGGGGCTGGTGAGATGGCTCAGCGGTTAAGAGCATTGACTGCTCTTCTAGAGGTCATGAGTTCAAATCCCAGCAACCACATGGTGGCTCACAACCATCTACAATGAGATCGATGCCCTCATATGGGTGTCTGAAGACAGCTACAGTGTACTTACATTACATATAATAAATAAATAAATCTTAAAAAAAAAAAAAAAAAAAAGAAATCTTCGTGTGAACTTAATGAGTAGATCTCAGACAGACAAAAGCATCCATTGGTTGATGCCCATATGTCTAGCACAGGACACAGACCACCAATGGCAGTCCACATTTGTGAAACTCAAACCAAAGTATCATGTTAAGAGCTCTGTGCCAGAAAACCATTTCACTTAATTGCTAGTTTAGCTCCAGTAAGTATGGAAGGTTAGCTCCGTTGTCCTCACTTACAGATAAAGAGATGTATCTTCCAACAGAGCAACCAGGATTAAGACAGGTGTGGTGTGCAATCCAAGCTCTGCACAGTCACCACAGGCAGCCTCCCTCTGGGGCCTTCACAAAACTCCAGAATGGGAAGGCCAACTTCTGCACTGCTGTCAGGAGTTCACAAGAACAGCTCTGAGGGTGATTTCCCCGACAATGGGACCATGAGCCAATCCCCCCCCCCCCCAAGAATCTGTATGACAACGCTAATTTTCTTTCCTTGCAAAGTTACTAGGTGGGGCAGTACCATAAGGAGCTATACAAACATCTTGAGATTTTTAACAGACAGGGTAAAACTCCAGCTATCTCTGCTAGAACATTAACCATGGGGAAGGGCAAAGTCAAACGTTCAATTCCTTAAAAATTGGTGTCCTAAGGCTTGAGATTTAACATTAACCAAAGGTCACTCTTAGCTCTGATCCAAAGCCATGTAGAGAACCTGGGAACCACCCTGCAACTGCTAACACAAGAAAGTAGCTGAGAAATGATGAAAGACCGTACCTAGGCTCAAAAGGTGAGGAGTAGCACTGGCTCAATCTTCAGGCCACTTCAAGGGATTGGGGGGAATCATTTACCCCCCTAGCTAAGGTTTTATACAACCGGCAGGTTTCCAGTGAAACCCTGAGTAAAACTGTATCTTACCACTAAAACTGAGTTCTCGAAGCTTTTCCAACACAATGGAGGGCTCCTTCAGGACATCCTGGAAATCTGCAATCCTTAAAGGGCAGAAAAGGAAACCCCAAGGTAACAGGCTTAATGACCAGTCCAAAGATCCTTCACTCCCACCAGTCTCCAACTACTAGTTTAGGGAAGTAGGCAATACAAGCTTCTTCCTCTAAAATCTGCCATGTCAACGAAGAACCCCAAGAGGTATTCTAATCAAAAGAGTTTGAAATGAGGACTTAACATTAAGCGCCTTTCACTGTGAACTGGCATATTCCTGGGTACTCGCTGTGGCCAAGCCCAGCCCACAACACACCACTACCCGAATTCACACAACCAAGCTTCGTACAACCAGGAGTAATTTGATCCACAGACAACAGACTTGTACAATCTCCCCACTGCTCCCGGAGCTCTAGGCTGGGGGAGGGGGCGCAGACTTTTCGGGTCTGCCCTCAGGCAAAGACAAAAGACTAAAAATTAGTCCTGGAGTGACCAAAATTTAGCGGACGCTGCAAGATTTAGCCTGGGGTGGGGGTAGGAGGTGGATTTAAGAGGCCAGACTGGAGGATCTGGGTTCTCTGGTGTTTCTCATGAGCAAGGAGCACAGGGACAGGGGCATTTGGGAGGGGGGGGGGGATCATGGAGCCAGGAAGCGGAGAGGGTAATAGGGAGCTGGACGAGGGAGACACCAAGGAAAAGAGTCCCGAGTGAGAAAGACAGGTGACACTAAGGTAAGAGAAGCATCTCTGCTTCTCGCCTCTGCCACACAAGCCTGTAAGGTGGGCTCTAGGGGCCCGCCGCCGGAGGAGGGGGCTATTCTTGGCCGCACATGCGCTGAGCAGCTCTATCTGTGAGAAGGACAGGCCCGGCTGGAGCAGTCTGGGTGCAGTCTTGACCTCGGTTCTCCTTACCGGCTCTTATGCAGACTCGACATGGTGTTGACTTCCGGACCTCCAGGCTGCCGTCTGCAGCCCCAGCTGCCGCTGCCGCCACCGCCCCCCTCCCTCCGGGGACACGGGGCACTGGGCAAAAGCCTCCGGCAGAAAGCAAAACCGCGAGCGTGCGCGTTCCGCAGGAGCGGGGCCGCGCTGGGTCCGCCCAGGGATCACGTGATACAGGCCAGGCAAACCCCTCCGCTGTGTGTCAGGACTGCCGATGATTCCGCTGGCTGAGCTCCCGCCCTCAGTCTCCGTCTACGGAATACACTTGTCAATCTCTCTCGCTCCCTGTCATTAACTGGCGCAGTTGTTTGGTGAACTAGACTCAGTCCCCGGGTGAGGTCTCGAAATGACCCTGTTGCTCAGTAAGTACCTCTTGGAGGAGCCGGAGTACAGCTCAGGGTTTCCTTGACTTCGGGAGTTACAGAAGAATTCTGGCAATCTTGGCTGTGGTAGCTCACGTCTTTTATCCTAGTACTCGGGAACTAGAGGCAGGAGGATCTCTGAGTTCGAAGCCAGACTGACCTACAGAGAGTTCCAGGACAGCAAGAGCCACACAGAGAAACCCTGTCTTGAACCACCACCACCACCACCACTACCCCCTCCCCGCCCAAAGTAGATAGAATTTCTGTAATTGCACAGTTTCAAAGCAATAGAAAAGGAACAACAGGGGCTGGAGAGATGGCTCAGTGGTTAAGAGCACTGACTGCACTTCCAGAGGTCCTGAGTTCAAATCCCAGCAACCACATGGTGGCTCACAACCATCTGTAATGAGATCTGATGCCCTCTTCTGGTGTGTCTGAAGACAGCTACAGTGTATTCATATATAATAAATAAATAAATCTTTAAAAAAAAAAAAAGGAACAACAGTTACGCCGAGGGCGAGGTCGTAACTCAGTAAAGTGCTTGCCTTGCACATACAAAAGCCAGGTTTCAGGTTCAGGTTTCATTATAGTCGGACTTGGAGATGCCTGCCAGTAATCCCAGCATTTGAGAGGTCGAGGCAGGAAGAAGTTCAAGGTCATCCTCTGCTAGAAGTGAGTTTGATGTTGATGCCCCAGGGAATAAAACACTTGCATAAGCTCTGGAGTTTGGATCCACAGAATTCATGAAAGAGCTGCCAAGAGGGGCAGGAATGTGCTAGGTGGGGAAGGCAAACTGACCTCGCTGGACAAGCTTCAGTGAATAAAGGGGCGAGCCACCAAGGAAGACAACTGGCCTTTAGGTCAGGGCCCCATTCATACATCACTCCTACACAGATTTGTACATACACGAACACAATTTCTTTTATAAATTACGTGTATGGGTGCTTTGCCTGCATGAGTATGTCTGTGCACCACTCACCTGCCTGGAGGTCAGAAGATGGTGTTGGATCCTTTGGAACTGGAGTTGTAGATAGTTGAGAGCCATCATTTCAGTGCTGGGAATTGAACTAGACCCTCTGTAAGAGTCACCAGAACTGAATTATTTCTTCAGCACCTGCCCTCCCCCGCACACACATACAATATTTTTTAATTTAAGAAAGAGAGCTGCCGGGCAGTGGTGGCGCACGCCTTTAATCCCAGCACTTGGGAGCAGAGGCAGGTGGATCTCTGTGAGGTCAAGGCCAGCCTGGCCTACAAATTGATTTTCAGTCTACCCAGTAAGTTCCAGAATAGCCAGAGCTATTGTTGCATAAAGAAACCCTCCCTCAAATTAATTAATTAGATTGATTTAATTAAAAAGTAAAGAGGGGAGAAAATATCAAGATTTCAGAAATCTTCGTTTACCTACATACACACACATACACGTACTCACACATACATACACACACATACACATTCATAACTGCACTTAGTTCTTAATTTTTTCCCAACAACCAGTGAAAACTTTAATGTTGGACAGTGTAACTTTTCAACTCCTCCTCTTCTCATGTTCCTGTCCACTAAGACTTTGCTGGCCGTAAAGCAGATGTATGCTTTTCTAGTCCAAATTCCCAAGGTCTCCCATATTCCTCCAATACATGGTCAGGTTTGTCACAGCAACACCCTAATCCTGGTACCAACTTCTGTCTCAGTCACTTTTCCCTTGCTGTGACAAACCATGACCAAGACAAGTTCCGGAGGGAAAGTCAGGTTTCTCTGGAATCATGGTTCCAAAGGGATAACAGTCTGTAACCATCGTGGCGGGGAGGCACAGCAGCATGCCGTCATTGGTGGCAGGAGCAGCAAGGTGATAGCTCATACCTTGAGTCACAAGCACAAACAGAGATCCAGGCTGGAGAGATGGCTCAGCCATTAAGTGCGCTTACTGCTCTTCAGAGATTCTGAGTTGGATTCCTGGCACCCCCATGGCAGCTTTCGACTATCTGTAACTCCAGTTCCAGGGGATCTGACGCCCTCTTCTGGCACAATCCTCCAGAGTACCAGTCGTGAACATAATGCACATACCCTCATCCACATAGACAATAAAGTAAACAAATCTACAAAAAAAAAAAATGAAGAGAGAGCGAGGGCAAGCAAATTAGAAGTGGCTTGAATCTTTAAACTCTCAGAGCCTGCCTCTAACAACTTTCCTCTACCAGTAATGCCACACCTTCTAAGCCTCCCCAAAAAGCACCATGGGATGTATACTAAGTTTCCAAATACAGGAGCCTTTGGGAGATAGTCTCCTTCAAATCACCATAACCATTATGAGTCTTATTGCCTTGAGACAGGTGTCTCCCCCTAACCAGAATGTAGCTGTTTCCAACTAGAGCTCTCAGGATCCACCAGTCTCTCCATGCTGGAGTTGCAGGTACACGCAGCCATGCCTGACTTTTTACATGGATGTTGGGTATTGGGTTTGTCAGGTTATCCTCAGAGCAAGTGTTCTTCCTGACTGAGCCATCTCTCCAGGCCTGCATTCATTTCTTTTTACCACTGTGGTAAAATCCTGAGATAGACAACTTAGGGAAGGGTTATTTCAGCTCAAGGATTCAGAAGGTTCTGACCATCATGACAAGGAGCTCCTCAGAGTAAGAAGTTTAGTTCCCATCACGGCCAACTAGGAGACAGGGAGAATGACAGAGCTCAGGTGACCTCAGTCCATAGAATGCTGCTGCCCAAAAGCAGGGCAAATCTTCCCCTTGTGAGTTAATGACCCTGGAACCATCTTCACTGACAAACCCAGAATTGTGCCTTAGGAAGGCCTATGAGTTGCTTTTATTCTTTAAAGTTTCATTTATTACATATACAGTGTTCTGCCAGTATGTATGTCTGCAGGCCAGAAGAGGGCACCAGATCCCATTACAGATGGTTGTGAGCCACTATGTAGTTGCTGGGAACTGAACTCAGCACCTCTGGAAGAGCAGTTGGTGCTCTTAACCTTTGAGCTATCTCTCCAGTATGTTGCTTTTGTTTTTTCAGATTTATTTTTAGTTCTCCTTATAAGTGTGTGTGAGCCGGGCGGTGGTGGCGCATGCCTTTAATCCCAGCACTTGGGAGGCAGAGGCAGGCGGATTTCTGAGTTCGAGGCCAGCCTGGTCTACAGAGTGAGTTCCAGGATAGCCAGGGCTACACAGAGAAACCCTGTCTAGAAAAAAAAAGTGTGTGTGAGAGAATGTATGCCACATGTTTTCAGATCCATGCAGAGGCTAGAAGATGGTGTGGGATCCCTAGACTGTAGTTACAGATAGTTGTGAGCTGCCCACCATGGGTCCTGGGAACCAAAATGGGGGGTCCTCTGCTACAGCAACAAGTGCTCTTAACCACTGAGCCATCTTGCTACACTTGCCTGGAGTTTCTTTTCTTTTTTTCTTCTACTTCTCTTGCTTATTTATTTTGTTGTTGTTTTGTCTTTTGTTTTGTTTGCTTGGTTTTTTGTTTTGCAACATGGTTTTTCTGTGCAGCCCTAGCTGTCTTGCAACTTGCTTTGTAGACCAGGCTGCCTTCAAACTCACAGAGATCTGCCTGCCTCTGCCTCCCCAGTGCTGGGATGACTAAAGGCATCAGCCACCACAATCTGGTCCCTTAGAGTTTTTTTTACTCTAATTTATTAGATAATCAGAATTAATCACCATAACGCCATTGTCTTAGGGTTTCTGTTGGAGTGAAGAGACACCATGACCAAGACTGGCTTACAGATTCAGAGGTTTAGTCCATTATCTTCATGGAAGCATGCAGCATGTGGATAGACATGGTGCTGAAGAAGCTGAGAGTTCTGCATTTTGATCAGCAGGCAATGGTGGGGGACTGAGACACACTGGTCCTAGCTTGAGCATATATGAGGCCTCTAAGCCACCTTGACAGTGATGTACTTCCTCCAATAAAGCCACACCTCCTAACAGTGTCACTCCCTATGGCCAAACATTGAAACACAGGTGTCTGGGGGCCATTCCTATTCAAACCACAAGAACCATCCTTGTTAATTTGACACCCAAACTTACTACTTTTATTGTTTATTTTATTTTTATTATTTCTATGTATATAAGTGTTTGCCTACAAGTATGATTGTGTTCCACAGGCATGCCCATGCCTGGTGAAGCCAGACAAGGGCATGGGATTCCCTGGAGCAGGAGTGACAGGTGGTTGTAAGCTTACCTGCTGACCACCTCTGCTCTCTCTGCTCTTACTGTGGTCTGGATTCACCACCAACTCTGTTTACCTTTTCAAGTTTGCTCTTTTCTGTGAACCTTGATATTCTATATGAGTATTCAGGCAAGTCTTTCAATCTTTCTTTTTCTTTTCTCTTTGTTTTGTTTTGGTTTTGAGACTGGGTTTCTCTCTGTGGCCCTGGCTATTCTAGAACTCACTTTGTAGAGCAGGCTGGCCTTGAACCCACAGATCTGTCTCCTGCCTCTGTGTCCTGAGCACTGAGAGTAAAGGCTAGTGCCACCACTGCCAGGCCTGAGGTCGATCTTTCCTTCTTCTCTCCCTTCCTGTAGCCACCTGCAGCGAGTGATCACTGGGTTCACCTGAAAGGGAAGGCTGGGAATGAAAGGGGGATGGAGGACGAGAGAAGATGAAGCCAAGACAACAACATATTCTGATCAAGGCTCAATGCTTTAATGTTCAGCTTTCAATTTAAAGGGGGAGCCCCACCCCCACCACCGAACCCCTT